GGGGGGGGGGGGGGGGGTGGCGGTGAAATTCGAACGGTGGAGGAAGAAATGCGGAGACTATTTTACATTTCAGTAGTGAAGTGGTAAAGGGTAACAAGTCAATTTCGCGAATGGTTGAGTTTTCGAGGAATACCTCTGAATCCAACAGAGATAGCGACATTTTTGTAGGAGCTTTTTTGTAGCTCTCATCCTGCTCTACAAAAAAGTTCTGTTCGAAATACAGCCTAAATCTCCAAAATGGTTACGGTCGACTAACTCGGCCATCTCCGAAAATCTCCGTGAACTTTCGGGTCAACGGACACAGGTCAGCGCGGCACCCGGAAGAGTCAGTCAGTAGTAGTATAGAAGTATCGTTACGATAATGAGCTGGCGTATTCAGTCAAATAGTATTATAAATTTAATAATTTTGTTCAGTACATCAACTTATTGATTCAGTTCAGATTTCAGTGACTCAACGAGATAAGGTGCAAAAAGACAATATCAGTGAAAATTAGACATTCAACAATAATTGAAACCAAAGAGTGTACCGAAATTGTGATAAGTGGTTCGATCCCACGCCAAATATAGTGATAATTTTCTAAAACGCCTAAATAATTTTCCCAACATCTCCCTCCACATTTTCATCCCACATCCACCCTAAACTAGTTCCTCACCAAACAGTGGTCCTTCGAGTCGGATTGTGGGTGAAAACGTGTGATAGTGCTGTGGAAAAAATTTAAGGGACGCCTCGTGTCGAAAAACATTCGGGGTTCACACGGGCACGTCAACAGAAACTTCTAGAACATTCGACGTGTTTACACCCGCAAGGGTGTCGGGTTAACAAAGGACAAAGTGAGAGTTAAAGTGTCGAAATTCGGGAAGGTTCGGGAGTGACGAGTGACGCCGAAGCCCGCCAACGCTTGGCCACGTGCGCCACGCAACAGGCGACTCACCTAACTCGGCGGTCGGTAACTCACCTAACTCAGCGGTCGGTAACTCACCCAACGCAGCGGTCGGTAACTCACCCAATTCAACAGCCGATAACTCACCCAAACCGTCAATCTAGCACAGATAATCACCATGGAAGACGACACTAAGGTCAACGAACCCAAAGAAGAAACTCAACACCCAGAGAGCGAAAGCGAGAAAAGTGAGCCAGTCTCACAAAAGGAGAAACTGTCAACAAGAAATGAGACAGTTACAACGCAGCCAATCACCATTAATGAGGAAATCATCAGTCCAAGTGGATCGTCAGGATCAAAGGAGCCCGCTCAACAAAAGTCAACGCCTGCAGCTTCAAAAACAGCACTCACCATGCAACAGGAAGGTCAACTAAGACTATTAACGTTTAAGGTAGAAACTTTGATGGAGATCTATCATGACCTCCCGCAGGACGTTGAAACCGAAGAGGACCTCACCCTAGAAGAACTAGACGGACACAAGGGGATAATTGAGGCAGAATGGAGCGAGTATTTTCAGATTTATGCTAATCTAGCCGAGTTTCTTCCCCCTGATCACGAGTATGTGAACGAAAGGATCCATGAACGAGCCACCAAAACAAGACGACAAGCCCTGATGCTCATTGCTCGGCTGAAGGGTCAACTGGCAAGGAAAAGGGATTCAGTCAGCAGCTCAACAGATCAAAGCCAGGCAAATCAGCTGAAACGTCTTGACATCAAGCCAGTCAATGGGAAACCGGAGGAATGGAAGGAGTTCAGTGACCTTTTCTTGTCACTGGTGGGAAATGTCACGTCAATTCCACCAGTACAGAAATTGGT